TGTCACAGCCATGGAGGCCGTCCATGAACTCACTGTCTGTCCTGTTACGGCCATGGAGGCCGTTCATGAACTCACTGTCTGTCCTGTCACGGCCACGGAGGCCATCCATGAATTCACTGTCTGTCCCGTTACGGCCATGGAGGCCGTTCATGAACTCACTGTATGTCCTGCCACGGCCAAGGAGGCCGTTCATGAACTCACTATCTGTCCTGTTACGGCCATGGAGGCCGTTCACAAACTCATTGTCTGCCCTGTCACGGCCACAGATTCTGCTCACAAATTCACATTCTGCCCTGTCATGACTAAGAAAGCTGTCCATGAATTCATTGCCTGTCCTGTTACGGCCATGGAGGCCGTTCATGAACTCCCTGTCTGTCCTGCCACGGCCAAGGAGGCCGTTCATGAACTCGCAGTCTGCCCTGTCACGGCCATGGAGGCCGTTCTTGAACTCACGGTCTGTCCTGTCACGGCCATGGAGGCCGTTCTTGAACTCCCTGCTCTGCCTGCTCCACCTTGGCTGCCCGATCTGCCTGCTCCGCCATGGCTGCCCGCTCTGCCTGCTTCGCTATGGCTGCCCGCTCTGCCTGCTCCGCCACGGCTCACCGCTCTGCCTGCTCCACCGAAATAAACTGCACTTGGGTTCTCACTTACACTCGCCTTCAGTGGACTAATTTGTTACAGAGGAGTGAGTTTGAAGACCCCTGGTCTAGGAACTCATCTACCTGGAGGGTACAAGATTATGAACACTTATAGTGAATTAACAAACTGAAATCTTGCAATAAACTAATATAAAATTCACATGCAGCACTTTGGGAGAAATGCACTTTATTGTCAATGTTAATACATACACACTACTGTTTAATATGTAGCAGAGTCTAATCTTTTTAACTAGTCAGGCACAACAACTGTCAAAGAATGTTGGTGTGGTATCTCATCACAGCAGCTGTGCTGAGTCAAGAACAATGCTTTTAGAAAAAGACAGAAAAGAGGAATTAGGCTATGATTAGGCTGAATATTTGATTTTGCTTTTTGAAAATGCAGCACTAGTGAGCAAAGCTATAGTGAAAAACGTAAAGGACAATGCTCTGGTAAAGCATTCTGCTTTCTTTGTACTATTATTCAGAGAAAACATTCTCTGAACATCTCATAAAACATATTTCATTTTCAATATAGACACATTTTCAAGTGCACAAGTGTACAACAGTACATTTAAAAAAAAAAACCCACTGCTCACAGCAGAGGACATGTATGATCAAGCTCACAAAGACACAGACACTCTGCACTCTAAGTGGACACCTTTGTGACAACATGCATACACTCACACACACACACGCATTGTGACAATAAATAGTAGAAAGAATCGCAGCAGTAGAGTGAAACTAGGACAGTGTGGATAGCAGACGTGGTACAGATCACCCATTTGACTTAACATGTGATGCCCACCACAGTGGTCAAGTGGGGCAGTTCTTGCAGCAGCTCTGATGCCAGGTGGCTGATGTGGCACCAGGCCTCCTGAACATGCCGTGACTCAGTAGTACGGGCACACACGGCAAACCGCAGAACAAACTTGCCTGCCAGCTGGCACGGTACCAGATGGATCTTACGTGCATTGTTGATCCTCTTCAATAGAGTTTCATTTAATTCATTGGAGCCCTGCAGGGTTTAACACACAGCTCAGTTAGGATATTTTGTAACTGCTCACTGATCTAAAAAATGTGCTAACAAAGACACTTGACTCAAGCAAGTCCAATATATTTAGCATTGCATTATAATTATTTGGACTGCGTTTAAGTAAATCAACCAGCAAAATATATATAATGGTTATTATTGTTAATTAAAATGAACTAAAATAAACATTAATTGAAATAAAATAAAATAAAATACAAAAAAAAACTATTTCAACATTTTCATTTTGTTTAAGTTGAAGTACTAACATAACTAAAATAACAACAACAACAACAAAAAACCTATAAAAAAAATGTAATAAAATGTAATAAAAAAAAAACTATGGTAAGACTTTAGTTTAGGTCACCAATTCTCACTATTAACAAGTTGCTTATTAGAATGCCTATTATTAATATATTGGCTGTTTATTAGTACTATTTATTATGGTCTGCATGACCATATTCTACATCCCTAATCCTACCCAATACCTAAACTTAACAACTTCCTTACTAACTATTAATAAGCAGCAAATTAGGAGTTTATTGAGGCAAAAGTTTGTTAATAGCAAGAATTGGACCTTAAAATAAAGTGTGACCAAACTATACATATTTAAAACAATGACAAAAACACTACAAAATATCTACAACTTTAAAATTAAAATAAAAAATTAAAACAATTATTTTTTTTTGTACCTTTGCCTGAATGCAGATAATTGCATTTTAAGTTTGCAAAATGTAAATGAACATATTGGTAAGTATATTCTCCAAAATATTTTTTATCAAATGTGTATTATGTCTTGTGGTAGCAGAGATATAGCTACAGGTTATTATTATTATTATTATTTTACACTTTGCTGTTGCAATTACTATCAACACAATTTTGTGTAATTTGTGCTGCTCTCTTTGTACATAGTTGGAAATTAAAATCAGTCATACTGCAATTTTCCATAGTTAACCACCTCCGAGAGTCAATCTATTACAACCACAGGAAGAGGTGGTTTTGTTTCTGTAGGAAGAATGTTTTTCTCTGACCTTGAGTTTAAAGCAGACGAGGCCCAACACAACATCTGCTGAGATCTCGAAGCGTTGATCAGCTCTCACCAAAGATTCAAAATCTTTGGCCAGCCCTACATGCTGAAACAAAATGAACAATGCATTTTAGACATGCAAGTAGGCACCTAATAGGCACCTAATTTGTGTAAAACTGACACAGCAACATTGTATGACTAAATTATCATTCATCATGTTAATAAATAAATAATTAGTGGGTGGATGTATGGATGGATAGTTAGAAGGAAATTGTTGTGAAATGTGAAATATATCCCCAAAACTGTAACCCAACAGATCAGAAACAAAATAAATTTAGTTTGAACTGAATGTCAGCCATAAAACGATCAAAGATAACAATAATAATAATAATAATAATAATTAATAAATACATAAATAGGCTAAAAAAGAGAAAACAGAACTTTCATCTTTGGGTGAAATACTTCATGTATACCAGCAGAGGGCAGCCTGTAGATTAAAATAAGCAACCAGAGCAGAGAATGATCATGTGCTAATCATGCAGAATAAATTGTTCTAAATAGATTAAGTTTATCAGTAATCATTTTTTTCAATGCTGATTACTGGAATCAAATCTGACCACACAATTTCCTCATTCTCAGACAGTTATTCCTTATGCTATACTGTCCAGCAGTTGAGAGCTGACCGTTAAACCTGAGTCAATCAGAATTACTGAAAAAATAAGAAGTACAAATGCGGGAAATTATGTTCTTTGATAGATCTTTATTATATTTTACTAATTTTATACTAACAAGAACATTCAAAGAGTTTAAAAATAGGTCCTGTATGCTCTATATTTCTCAACAAACATAGAATCTTCACCAGACCGCATATAGTGCATGTGTAGAACAGAACATATAATGAAGATGTCTTAAAGAATAAAAGTGCACTGATTTGCATCATTCAAAATAGACTGTGGAGCCAAATAAGATGTGACTGGCAAGGCTAACTAGATTGACAGCATGGATTAAAGGCAGTTACCTTGCGGATGTAGGCTTGGAGACCTTTGAGTCCGTACATGCGGAACACAAACCATATCTTGAGAGAGCGGAACCTACGACCCAATGGGATCTGCCAGTGCTGAAGGGAGATGAGATGAGATATGACATATGAACTGTGCTCACATAATTACACATGAATCACAGACACAAACTGGTGCACATACACCTCTGAATATACAGAAGTTTGTAATTCTTATACAAAAAGTGACTGTCTCCTTCTCTCAACACTTATATTTGACTTAAATACACATTAAAATACTTGTTTCTTCCTATATAAAGAACAACTGAGTACACAGAGATAAATAACTGTGGATGAAATTATAGGTTTTGGTTTATACATTGGTTTTGCTTCAACACCAAAATTTATATTGTGCAAAAACTTTGCAAGTATACATGTCAACATATTCTATTAACCCTATCCATAACCATATTTATATGATAACTTATCCAAATAAGTTTATAACCATATTTATTTGTCTATCCTAAATATGTATCATAGTTATTCACTGCTGTTAGCGACTCTATCACAGAAAACGTCTCGGTTACGTATGTAACCCTCGTTCCCTGAAGGAGGGAACGGAGACGTCACGTCGGTAACCGACGAATTGGGGTCTCGCTTAGAGAGACCAATCCACTTCGAGTGTAAACTAAACGAGCCAATGCACATTGGCATGCGATGATTGCGTCCAGCTGCTGCTGATCACAGCGTGAGCATAAAAAGGCAGCCGGTGCAACGCATATCAGCTTTTCGCTGAGGAGCCAAGCCAGTGACCCGGCCGCTCAGCGGTGGTACAGCAGCCGTGGCGACGGGACGTGACGTCTCCGTTCCCTCCTTC